TTGCCAGAAAGCTGGCCCAGTCTCTTGAGCTTGTTCGCCGCTCCAGCGTAAGCAACAGAGGCCTCGGGACCGTCAACAGACGCTTCAGGATGCAAATCGGCACCAGGGTGAGGGTCGACGTCGTGAAAACGTCACGACGTCGGGGGTCTGTGGAGGAGAAGGAGGGAGACCCAGGGGGAGCAGCAGCGTCCTGCATTTCCCCCGGTTCTCCTGCCGCATCCTACCTCCACACTCCTCCTCCTCCCAGTCCTCGTCTCTTCCTCCTCCCTTGTCAGCCTTCCTTCGCCACTCCCCGCCATTCCCCCATCGCTCCCCCCAGCCCTGCCCCCTGCCCTGCCCCCCCCCCCCGCCCTCTCCTTCATTTCCCGGAGATCCGACGTTCGAAGATTACCCGAGACTTACCCGCCCCCTTCTCCACGCGAGTCGAATAGATTTGTATGACCGCTCCAGTTTTGCACGATCTGCGCTGCCCTCACCTCCGCCGTGCCTCCCAGGAGCCCACGAACGCGGAGACGGTTGCGCAGTTCGCAGCCCCCGAGGGAGCTGCGAGGTCTCAAATGGATCTGCGCTACCCTCACCTCCGCTGGACCTTCCAGGAGCCCACGAAAGCGGCCACAGTTGCGCAAATCGCAGCCACCGAGGGAGCCGCGAGGTCTCGGCTGGGTGCGCGTGGCACTCCACTCCGCTGGACCTCGGAGGAGGCCACGAAAGCGGCGACAGTTGCGCAAACCGCGGCCCCCGACGGCATGAGGAGGGGGGAGGCGGAGGAAGGTGATGAGGAGAGGAAATGTTGAAACAGCAGAAATCACGACTGGAGTCATGGATCCCATCCTCCTGCGATATTTTTCGATCCCGATCGATCTGTGATGATCCCGGCGCCCGAAGCTGGGCGAAAACGCACGGCGTGAAAAACAGTGCAACGCCCCCCCTTTCGCATCCTCCCTATGGCCTGCATCTTCGCCCCCTTTCCCAGGGTATGCAGCCTTCTCCTTCGCCCCCCCCCGCCGAATCTCAGGGTGCGTAGTTGATTCGCCCTCCTCCGTCGCCCCCGCTCCCTCTCTCCCCCGACCCCCTTTGGCGGCCACTCGCGAGGGCGCCGCGGCCTCGGCACTGCTCGGCGGGGGCGAGGCCCACCACGCCCAGCCCGGGAGCTTCGCGGCCTTCCTCCCGGACCCCAGGGGGCGCCACCTGGCTTGGGCGCCCGGTAGAGGGGAGCGGGGGCAGGTCGGGGAGTGGGCCCCCCAGGTGCGCGACACGTGCGCGCTTCTTCGCCCCGTGTTTAGTGTCCCCTCCCCCACTGCGGGCGCCTTCAGGGTACCCAGACCCCGACGTCAGGGTTTTTTCGCAACGTCGACCTCCACAGGTCTGAACCCCCTCCCAGGATCAGTTTTTCGTCCTGGGTCGTCTTGCTGGCGGTCCCGAGGCCCGGTAAGGGCCCCGGGAGGCCGAAAATAACGAGAATCCTCCCGTCGTGTTTTTTTCACAGCGCGAGGGGGGCTGGGCAGTCAGAGGTTGGAACTCGTGCACATATCCTCCGCATGGGGGCCGATGTCCCGGGACATGGCGCACTCCGTGACTTGTTTTCGCGACGCGGGAAGGCCTCGGGCCTGCTTGGAGGTCGGTGCCACTTATGCTACTTGCGACCTGGATACAGCTTGGTGCAACCTACTTATAGCACGGGGCGAAGTGCCGCAAGTCGTCTCAAGTGTTCGTAAATGTTGTAAGTGCTGCCCTTGTGGTGGAAGTGTAGTTGCGCTACCTGTACATATGTTCAGTGTTTAGCTGGGCAGGGTAAGTTATACGTGCGGGTACGTAACTTAACCGAACTCAATAAAATAGCCTAGCCGTACTTTGTGGAATACTTGTATGTCGCCTGTAAGCTCCCTCCCTACCCCTCTACAAACCGTCCAGCCGAGCGATGCAGTTCGCCAGGCCTCACCTTCCCTCCAAACCCGTCCCGCTGGCCCGACCCCGCTCAATCTCGAGTCCCATGGGACATTATATGTCGCAGCCCACGGATGGCGGAACCCATGGCGCAATCTATGTCGCAACGCATGGCGCAACCCATGGATGGCGCGACCATGGCCCATGGCGCAACCCATTGCCCAGTTTCTGTTGCTTTTGCACGGAAGTGCCCAGGCTGGCCTCGGCGGAGGCGGCCTCGGCTGCAGAAGAGCAGAGGTAGGAGGAGGGGAGAAGGAGGAGGCGGAGGACGATGACGACGACGATACCGATGCCGAGGAGCAGGCCGACGGGGCCCACAGTGGTTGGCCCTCTCAGTTCTACGGGCTTGCGCCCGATGTATGGTCGCCGTTTGGGCTGGCGCTGTGGTTAAGCGATGATCTGTCTTGTGACCATTGCTGCCCGCACCCGTAAGAAGCTTCATGCGTCTTTACCACCTTCATCCCACTCCCTTCACTCCGTCCGTCCCTCCTCCCTACTCCCTTGCCCCTTCTCTTCGCTCCGCCCAGTCCCCCTTCCCTCATTTCCGGCCTCGTTCCTCCACTCTCACTTCCTTTCCCCTCCCTTTCCCTCCACTCTCGTCCCGCGTCCCTCCCTCTCCTGCTTTCCCCACTCATCCCTCCATCGTCTCCCTCCCTCCCACCGCCCTCCTTCCTCGTTCCCTCCCTCACTCTCGTTTTCTTTGTTGTCCTCCGCCCTTCCCTCCCCCCTCCCTCTTTCCCATTCTCACCCCCTCCATTTTCGCCCGCCCGCCCGCCCTCCCTACTTCCCACTCCTGCGTCGCTCTCCCATCCCCCTTCCTCGTTCCCAATCTTGCTGCCACCATCCCCCGTCCCTTCTCCATTATGCCTCGCCATCCTCTCACAGTTGTAACCCCCTCCTCCCGCGATGGCGGTCGCTGGGGCGGGCATGGAGGGGGAGGGGAGGGGTCGGGGGGCCAGCGCTCAGGAGGGCGGGGCGACTGTGATCACTGTCATGCGGTCGCTTCTGGGAGAAGGAAAACGGTGAGGGTTAGAGTGGGATTTGTGAGGGCGATGTCGGGGGCAGCGAATGCGACCGCAAGAGAACCACCGTCGTCAAGTTACGTACTCGCGCCAAGTTGCCTAAGTAGCGCTGGCCGCGACCCCTGACCCCTAGCGGGAGGTGAGGCACTAAGGCCCGTCCCAGCTTGGCCCAGTTGCGGAGCCGCCCGTGTCCTCCTCTGACCTCTCTGCCTCGCTTTTCCTCTGTGTGCGGCAGCAGCTGGGCCACTCGTTGGAACAGGGAGATGCGTTCGAGGCTGATGCGGCCACCTTTCACTGCAGTGTGTCTTGCTGTGCGATGTGCGGGGCTACGGCCCACTCCAAGACCAAACGCGGCGGCCTTCGCAAGGTTTGCACACCCCAGGCCTCATGGGACTGCGGTGCCGATTTGAATGTTTTTTTGCGGGGACCGCTACCCCGCCCATCGGAACTCGAAAGGGTACACGATTGTCTATGTCGGAGCCCCTTGCCTCGAAGACGGGGTTGTGGCTTCTTTTTCGCTGCCTGGCCCCAGGGTCTCCCAAGCCCGCCCAAGCCTCCAGCGAACGTCCCCCTCGCCGCCTCCGCCCCGCACAAAGAGGGCGGCGGCGGAGCGGAGGTTGGCGCTGCTCGGCCTGGTGCTGGAGGAGGCCAAAGCCTGGGGCCAGGCCAGGCCAGGGAGGAGAGGCGGGCGGGGGGGGAACAGTCGGGCGACGACTCCGAGCTCTTCCTCCCCGCCTAGGCCCTCTTCCTCTCGGCATGCGAGTTGGGTGGAACCCCTTTCGGTCGTGGGCGCCCTTGGTCCGTTTATGTGTTAATGCGCAACGCTCCGTTGTTCGTCCCAGGTCCCCGCGCTGAGCAGTGTGAGTGACGCGCGGACTGGTGGTCGGATGGTGGCGCCTCCCAAAGAATACCTGCATGGGAACCGATGTCCCTGGGACATGGGCCCCCCTAGGCTGTGAACATGTGTGGAATATCCAACCATTGCAGACAAGGGGCTTGCCTGTCGGCCGGGGGGCGATAGGGGCAGTGAAGCAACCTCACGAGTGCAAAGATCGGCGGAACGATTGGCACTAGACTTGAAGGAATCGTTCTTGCCGCGTTTAGCCACTGAGTCCCGCCGCTCCTCCTCTCCCTCCTCCTCGTCCTCGCTCTCTGGGCCTCTGTGGGCCCTTTCCGCTGGGTCGGAAGCCTGCTCGTGGCCGAGGCTGCTCGCTGCAACCAGGAGGGCCCCGTCGTTCTCCTCGTAGGTCATGGCACGGTTGGGCCGTCCGTCAAGAATTGTGCCCAGGTGGCTTCGGACACTGGAGGATCCTCGAACCGATGAGAGCGGCGGTGTTGTCCGTAGCCAGCCCGCAGTTGTAGTTACACCCGCCCTCACACCTTGGATTCAATATCCAAGGGTTCCCTGTCTGATGCCCTCACCGTAGTGCGACATCTGCACAGTAGGTTCGCATCGTGTCGACTGGCGGCGACCCCAGCGCGGCCCGTGGCCCAAAATTGGCCAATCGTTGAACGATTTGACGTTTCTGAAGCGGCCGACCGGTCAAGGTGGAGCGATTTTCGCGGTGTCGGAGCCCAACGCCGGGGTCGACACGGCACGAGCTTGCCGTGCCCCCCCCCTGTCCTGGCAAAGCCACCCGTCGGCCAAGGACCCAGCTCCCCGACGTTATGATTTGTTCATGACGTCGACCCGCACAAGTCTCGACCCATGCCCTGGGAACGGCTTCTCATCCCGAGTCGTTTCTCGATGGCCCTGAGGCCCAGTAACACCCCCCAGAAACATAATAAGAAGAATAATGCCCGTCCGGATTTCGTCATGATCCGAGGGAAGCGTTTTTCTTATCCCTTGACGAAAACGGCCGCTGTTGGAAGGGGCGGGGGGCGAGGGGGGTGGTAACGTCACGATTCGCGCTGGCGCCGTCTGAGAATTACCCAGCCGTAAGTCCCTAACGGCGCCAGCGCGAGCCGTGGGCGGGGGGGGGGGGGAATCCTCGGTGACGGCCGTTCTTCTGGAGGAAAACAGACACTGACACAAGTAAACATGGATCTCCAGAAACATATGAGAACACATGGCAAGTGGAGGGGAAGACGACGCTCCAGACTCTCTCTCTCTCTCTCTATATATAGTAACAAGATTGGACTTCCTGGGGTTTTGTGTTTATGTGTTTGTGTGTCCCTGGGCCCGTCCACTTATCGCGAATCGTACGGAAACGCGCTCGAAAAAGGAGTCTCGGGGCGGGCCCAGCTGTGGCCTCGAGGCACGGCCAGCGCTTCCCCCCCCCCTGCCAGGACATCTCGCCGGCGGCCGTGGGCCCCCGCCGCCCAGCGGGCGCCGCCGCCGACGCCCTGGGCCAGCCCCGGGCGCGCGGCGGGTGGAGGCGCGCGGGCGCTGCGTAATGTCGCATGGGGGGACACGGGTCTCCCTCCCGTGCTTTCCTCCTCCCCCTCCCTTCCTCCTCCTCCTCCTCTCCTCCTGCTCCCTCCCCTCCCCTCCTCCTCCTCCTCATCCTCCTCCTCCTCCTCCTCCTCCTCCCTCCTTCTCTCTCCTCTCCTCCTCCCCTCCTCCCTCTCCTCCTCCTCCTCCTCCTCCTCCTCCTCCTCCTCCTCCCCTTCTTCTCAATCGGGGAACGGGCCCATGTCCCTAATCCCTAATGCGAAACGGGCCCGTGAGAGAAACGGGTCCTGACGTCTTTCGTTGTTTTTCTGGCTCCTGGAGCCCTCCACGGGTCCAGGGACCGTGAGAAGTCGAGTTCGGATTGAGACGTGGTCTCGGGGGAAAGCCCCAGGGTCCGGGGCCCGTTTCCTTCAGGACCCGTCTCCCTAACTCTAAGCTTTTTGGTTGTGCGCACGAGTTGGTGACACAAGGGGGCGGCGTTCTAAGAAGGCGCTGGGGCTTCTGAGAAGGCTGGGCCCTTTCAAGAAGCCTTCCAGGTTTCTACAAAGCCTTCTCAGAAACGACCAGGCCCTTCAAAGACGGCTTTCGCCTTGTAAGAAGCGCGCCGCTTTCATATAAGGTTTCCCCCTTGGCGCCCCCCCCCTCCCTGGCGCCACCCTCTAATGCGAGGCTCCAACTGACGGGGGGGCAATGACGTGGCATCGCTCGGACGCGTGCCTTTTTCCCGCAGGACCATCAAGTCGGGGACCATCGAGGAGCAGCGTGGATCACCCTGCGGAAAATGACAAATGCTCGAGGAGTGGACGTCAAAGGCGATGGAAAGATACCCTTGACCTTCCAGCAGGGTAAGAGTATGGCACCAGGCCCCTCGACGTCGAAATTCCTGTCGAGGTCTTGGGCGGTCCAATCAGGTCTATAGGTCTTGATGGCCATTTTGCTATTACTCTGGAGGCTCGGGGGAGGATAGGGGGGTGAAGAATGGTGCGCCTTTGGTGCCCTAAAGGTGCCCTCTTGGGACCCAGAAGGGGCGCGAAAGGTGCCGGCTTCTTCGCCCCCCCCCCCCATTGGATCGCCCCCCCCCCATTGAGCAACGCCCGAGGCGCGCGGAACCCGAGGTGGCCACGTCCTTCGGGTCGAAGGTCGGAGGCGCGCCCTCGGCGGAGAAGGGAACGTGGCGTGGGCGAAAATCACACCCGTACCCACGGCCTCGCGGGCCGGGCCTTTGGGCCGCGACTCCGCGGATACGGGGCGCGTTGATTGCGGACGCTCCGCGCGGGACGTATCCATGCGACCGCGTATCCGCGGGGTCGCCCCCCAAAATCCAAACAACCAGGGCTCGGATACGGATACGTGCGCCGGTCGTGAGAGGGGGCAGGCCTTCTAAGAAGCTCAGAAGCCTTGCGGGCCTCTGAAAAGGTGTGTGATCTCTGGACGATTCGGAAAGCTTCTCGGAAGGCCTGAAGCCCCCTCTGCCTTCCCCCTTGGGCTCGCCGCCGAGAAGAAAGACGAGGAGGCCGTGGACGAAGACGACTGAGGATCGGTGTGCCCTGAGATTTGGCGTTGTGAAGCGTTGCGACATCGGACAAAAACACAACCAGAGTCTTAGACCCCATCTTCCTGTTCGATTTTCGAGCTGGATCGATCTGTGGTGGTCCTGGGGCCCGAAACCATGCGAAAACTCCCAGCTCGAAAATCGAAAAAAACGAGATGCCTGGATCTTAGTGTAGTTTGTACAAAATAGCGTGCGTGGTCAAGCCTGCATGGCCCAGCCTGAGTGGCTTATCAGGGGAAACGTCAGGGAGGACAGGCTCGTGGGGGAACTCATCGACCCCCAATCGCCCATTCATCGCCGATGTGGGGCCCGATGGCCCACCCCGCCCAGGAACGAGCGGATTCGCTATTCGGGGCCTATCGCCGATCTGTCGGCGATGCATCGCCGATTCCAGGTCGATGTTTCCCACCTTGAGCCGATCCCCCCGGAACGTGCCCCCTCAGCCTAGCCTGCGTGTAGCCTGGCCAGTGTGCCGTAGCTTGTATAGCCTCCCCCGCCCGTCCAGCTGCGGGAGCTGGGACGCTGTTGGGCGAAGGCCGCTGAGCTGGTGATGCCGCGCCGCAGCTGGCGCACGTAGGGTCGGCCCTGCGGCGTCGCAGGCGGTATGTTCGTGACGGCCGCGCCTCGCCAGCCGCATCCCGCACCAGTTCCCCCTGACGCGACCTCGAGATCAAAACAAGGTTGTTCCACGTGAGCGACGTAAGAAGACGGGTCGACTGCGCGGACATTTGCGCGTAAGTTGCCCAAGGTCGCGCGTGAGCGCTCTCGTTTCCAATGTAGCGTGCGGCGCTGGCGGCTCGCGTAAGGTCGCTATGCCATCTCGCGTCAGATCCGTGTGTTTTCGTCGCTCACGTGTTGGCAGGAGGTCTCCTGGTTCGGAACCGGTGCGCTTCGTGCTCCCAGCTGCTCGTGTCTGCGGCTGCTTCGCCAGGCGCCTAGTCATTGGGCAGCCCCCGGGGGGTCCCTGCAGAGCGGAGGATGTTTGTGCTTTCAGTTCTGAGCGGCACGCTTCTGGGAAGCCAGATGCATCGGAGGGCGGCGGCGACGGACATGATTACGATGATGATGTGGATGGCAGTGGTGATGAGTAGCATTCACAAGTACGGTCGGACCGAGGTATAAGATCGAGGTCGGCTCGGGGAGGGTACCTTAGTAATCTTCGTCCTTGTCGTATGCTCTCGTGCATCTGAGGGGGAGGGTGATCTTATGATTTGGGGTGTGTTGGCCGCCGGAGGGTCTGATGCTCTTGAAGGATGTTCGTCTGTCCTTAGTCTGGCCATAGTAGGAGGCTGTCGACGACAACGATGGCGGTACGGTGAAAGGACAAACCAACCCCTCACGAAGCGGCCCAAGGGCACGGCCAGTATCCAGCCCTCAGAGAGCTCCCATGGCGTGCCAAAGCGGCCCAAGAGGACCATACAACGTCCCGAGGGGATGCCACCAGAGTCCCCAAGGTGGTCCCCAGGCGGTCCCCAAGCCGCCACCAACAGCAGCCCGAAGACAGCTCTCGGACAGCCAGGAACTCACTCGGGAGACCCCAGAGAATTTTAGAGTTTAGAGGTCTTAGAAATTCAGGGCACAGTGTTGATCCAGCAGAGCCTCGGGGAAGCGGGTCCGCATGTAAAAAGTCTTCTCTTGGCATTGTGGTCGCAAGGCGTCGTGGTTGGGGTCGAGAAGGCTCGATATCTCGATATCTCGATATCTGGGGGAGCGGCCGGGCAGCATCTCGATATCTCGATATCTCGATCTCTCGATATCAGGGGCGGGGCTGGGCGGGGACTCGATATTCCCCAAACAGCTTGCTGAACGGGGTGCTGTTGTGATAGAAGCTAACTCTGGCCGAGGGAAGCCGGAGCAGAGACATCCTCACAAAAATTTGATGGTCCGGGCAGTTTCGCTTGAGACATCCTCGCAACTCTCGTTTCTGAGTTGGCCGGGATTGGCCGTTTCGCCTGAGACATCCTCGAAAAGTTGCGCTCCGGGACGCCGCGCGAGAGGTGGTCCGGGCCGTTTCGCTTGAGACATCCTCGAAACTCTGAGCCCCGAGGTGCCGTGCGAGAGGTGGTCCGGGCCGTTTCGCCTGAGACATCCTCGAAACTCTGAGCTCTGAGATGCCTTGCGCGAGGTGGTCCGGCCCGTTTCGCCTGAGACATCCTCGAAACTCTAACCTCGGAGATGCCGCGCGAGAGGTGGTCCGGCCCGTTTCGCTTGAGACATCCTCGAAACTCTGAGCCCCGAGGTGCCGTGCGAGAGGTGGTCCGGGCCGTTTCGCCTGAGACATCCTCGAAACTCTGAGCTCTGAGATGCCTTGCGCGAGGTGGTCCGGCCCGTTTCGCCTGAGACATCCTCGAAACTCTAACCTCGGAGATGCCGCGCGAGAGGTGGTCCGGCCCGTTTCGCCTGAGACATCCTCGAACTTCTGAGCTCTGAGATGCCCTGCGCGAGGTGGTCCGGCCCGTCTCGCCTGAGACATCCTCGCAACTCTGAGCTCTGAGATGCCGTGCGCAAGGTGGTCCGGCCCGTTTCGCACAAGCCATTCTCGCAACTCTGAGCTCCCAGATGCCGCGCAAGAGGTGGTCCAGCCTGGGGGCCCAGAAGACCACATGTTACATATCCTCCCTGGGACCCTGGGAGCCCGCCTGAGACATCCTCGAGCTTCTGAGCTCTGATATGCCCTGCGCGAGGTGGTCCCCTGAGACATCCTCGCAACTCTGAGCTCTGAGATGCCGTGCGCAAGGTGGTCCGGCCTGTTTCGCACAAGACATTTTCGCACCTCTGAGCTCCCAGATGCCGCGCAAGAGGTGGTCCAGCCTGGGGGCCTGGAAGACCACATGTTACATATCCTCCTTGGGACCCTGAGAGCCCCAGGAGGCCCCAGAGAGCTCCAGAAGGCCGCAGGACGCCCAGGACAGGCCCCAGGGGTTCCCAGGAGATTCCCAGGAGGCTCCCAGGAGGCCACCTTATCAGAACGTGTCAAGTTAATACACACCCGGTGTCGATTCGTTGATTTGTCCTGCTTTTGTGCCCCCCCCCTTCATTTTGAGGGGCCCAAGCGGCCACAGGTTAGATATCCCCCCCTGGGAGCCCCAAGAGGTTTCAGGAAGCCCCAGGTGGAGTTCAGGAGGCCACAGGAGGCCCAGGAGGAAGCCCCAGGAGGTCCCCAGGAGGCCCCAGGAGGCCCCAGGAGGCCCCCGCAACTCGGAGCTCTGAGACGCCGCGCTCGAGGTGGTCCAGCCCGTTTCGCCTGAGACTTCCTCGCAGCACGTTTCGCCTGAGACACCGGCCCGTCTCGCCTGAGAAATCTTTGCAACTCTGAGCTCTGAGATGCCGTGCGCAAGTTGGTCCAGCCTGTTTCGCACAAGACATTCTCGCAACTCTGAGCTCCCAGATGCCGCGCAAGAGGTGGTCCAGCCTGGGGGCCCAGAAGACCATATGTTACATATCCTCCCTGGGACCCTGGGAGTCCCAGGAGGCCCCAGAGAGCTTCAGGAAGCCGCAGGACGCCCTGGACAGGCCCCAGGGGCCCGCAGGAGATTCTCAGGAGGCTCCCAGGAGGCCCCAGGAGACCCCTTATCAGAACGTGTCAAGTTAATAAACACCCAGTGTCGATTCGTTGATTTGTCCTGCTCTTGTGGCCCCCCCCGTTCCATTGTAGGGGGGCCCGACAGCCACATATTAGATATCCCCTCCTGGCAGCCCCAAGAGGCTTCAGGAAGCCCCAGGTGGGGTCCAGGACGCCACAGGAGGCCCAGGAGGAAGCCCCTGGAGGTCACCAGGAGGTCCCAGGAGGCCCCAGGAGGCCCCCGCAACTCGGAGCTCTGAGACGCCGCGCTCGAGGTGGTCCGGCCCGTTGCGCCTGAGACTTCCTCGCAGCACGTTTCGCCCGAGACATCGTCGCAACTCTGGGGTCCGAGATGCCGCGCGCGAGGTGGTCCAGCCCGTTTCGCCTGAGACATCCTCGCAACTCTAGGCTCCGAGATGCCCTGCGCGAGGTGGTCCAGCCCATCTCGCCTGAGACATCCTCGCAACTCTGAGCTTTGAGATGCCGTGCGCAAGGTGGTCCAGCCCGTTTCGCACAAGACATTCTCGCAACTCTGAGCTTTCCGATGCTGCGCAAGAGGTGGTCCAGCATGGGGGCCCAGAAGACCACATGTTACATATCCCCCCTGGGAGCCCCAGCAGGCCCCAGAGAGCTCCAGGAGGCCGCAGGACGCCCAGGACAGGCCCCAGGGGTCCGCAGGAGATTCCCAGGAGGCTCCCAGGAGGCCCCAGGAGGCCCCCTATCAGAACGTGTCCAGTTAATACGCATCTGGTGTCGATTCGTTGATTTTTCCTGCTCTTGTGGCCCCCCCATTTCGGGGGGCCCCGACGGCCACATATTAGATATCCCCCCCTGGGAGCCCCAAGAGGCTTCAGGAAGCCCCAGGTGGGGTCCAGGAGGCCACAGGAGGCCCAGGAGGAAGCCCCAGGAGGTCACCAGGAGTTCCCAGGAGGCCCCAGGAGGCCCCCGCAACTCGGAGCTCTGAGACGCCGCGCTCGAGGTGGTCCGGCCCGTTTCGCCGGAGACTTCCTCGCAGCACGTTTCGCCCGAGACATCGTCGCAACTCTGGGGTCCGAGATGCCGCGCGCGAGGTGGTCCAGCCCGTTTCTCCTGAGACATCCTCGCAACTCTGGGCTCCGAGATGCCGTTCGGGATGAAGAGGAGGTGGAGGAGGAGGAGGAGGAGGAGGAGGAGGAGGCATGTTTTAACATGCCATGCCAGCCCGCAGTGGACGGGCACGCAATCGACTTCGGAAACCGCAGTGGGTCTCAAATCCCTGTTTGGGGATACTGCACTCCGGTCATAATCTCGATATTTTGATATCGGGGGGGGCTGGGGGGGCTGGGGGGGACTCGATATCTCGATATCTCGATATCGGGGGGAAGGGCCGGGCGGGGACCCGATATCTCGATATCGGGGGCGGGGCTGGGCAGGGGGTGGCCTCGAGGCAGCACGACCAGCATGGAGCAGCAGCAGCAGCAGCAGCAGCAGCAACAGCAGCAGCAGCAGTACGATCAGCATTCCCCTCTCAACGCACACGCGGTCGAGGGCCGTTTTGGAGCGTCTCGGCGCGCACACGGTCGAGGGCTTCGGGCCGTCGTGGGCTTCGGGCCCTCTTTGGCCCTCCACAGGCTCCTTGGAGCTCCTCCTCATGATGCCAGGCCGCCGATGACCGTCCAGCCCGCGCGTTTGCGCTAATCAAAGTCTTGGCGCACTTTGGGGTTCTGGGGCAGGTTGCGGGGTCCTGTGCCGTCTTAGAGTGGGCTTCGGGCCCTCTTTGGCCCTCCACGGGCTCCCCGGAGCTCCTCCTCATGATGCCAGGCCGTCGAGAGCCGTCGAGCCAGCGCATTTGCGCCAGTGGAAATTTTGGCGAAATTTGGCTCTTGAGCTGGGACACCTTGAGGGGTCCTTGGCCGTCCTGGAGAGAGCTTCGGGCCATCTTGGCTCCTTCGCAGGATCTCTGGAGCTCCTCATTCTGCGGGGCCGCTGAGAACCGCCGAGCCCGTCGGGCTCTTCGGCTGCTTCCCCGTGGACGCCCACAGGCTTCGATCTTGAGGTGTGCAGAGCCCTCCCCTGATGTCGAGATATCGAGATATCGAGTCTGACCCCGCCGCTGCCCCCCGATATCAAGATATCAATCGAGACATCGAGATATCGAGTCCCCACCCCGCCCCGCCCCCCGATATCAAGATATCGAGATATCTGGTCCCCCTCCCGCTCCCCCCCCCCGATATCGATATATCGAGTCCCCGCCCGGCCGTGCACCCCGATATCTCGAGATCGAGATGTCGAGCTATAGAGCCCGGCCGAAAAATGCAGCCCAGTTCTCCGGGACGCTTGGCCCCCACCCTGCCTCTTGTATATAATGTCGCTGGTTTGGCTTCGAGCGCTCGAAGAGCGCCCCAGACAGAGCCTTCGCGAATGTACGAAGCTCCACCACGGTCGCCAGGCAGCCGCAAGGGGCGCATGGACGGCCCAAAAACTCCCCCAACGAGCCTCGAGAGCGCCCCCAAGGGACGATGCCAAGACGGTCCCGCGATACCCCTAGAGTTATTCGCCCCACCCAAAAGACCCCAAACCGACACCAAGAAGGCCTCGAGAAGGCGGTTCGGGATTGTTGCATGTTTCAAGCCATTTCTTCAAACCTGAAGTGGGAAGCGAGAAGGCACAGGACGGAGGCGTTACATGGTGGGGAGAGGAGAGGAACAGTGGGGAGTGGGGGCAAGGAGAGAGGTTGGGTTGGAAGTTGGAAGTGGATCAGAATAAGGATTGAGAAGCAGCAGGAGGTGGAGGACGACGAGGACGAAGAAGTCTCAGAGGATGAGGCGGAGGGCCGCCGCCTTGATCAGCCTTGAACCTTGGGGCGCAACGAACTGCGCGAGAGCAGCATCCTCGACGCCACCTGCGCCACGGCCATCACCCGCGCTGGCGTTCTTGTCATCAGCGCCATCTTTGCGCAATCGCCATCGCCATCGTCGCCTCGGCTGTTGAACTGATCGCCATCGCGACGATCACTGCGCGCATTGCAGTTCTCAATGCCGAAGCTGGGCAAAACTCGGAAGAGACACTCTCCCGTGTCTGAGCTAGACAGGGGCGGCTGGTGGTTTCAATCTTGCGCAGCCCGCTGCTGGAAATCCGAATGCATCGGAGGGCGCGGGCGACGGAGATGATTATGCTGATCATGATGATGATGACGACAAAGATGATGCTGCTGATGATGGTGATGGCCATGATCATGATGCTATTGCTGATGATGTTGATGATGATGTTGATGATGATGATGATGATGATGGTGAGGGTGATGATGATGCTGATGGTGGTGATGATGATCATGTGGTGCTCATGATGACGTTGCTGGTGATGATGATGCGGATGATGGCACTGATGATGCCGATGATGATGATGATGATGATGAAGATGGTGATGATGCTGATGGTGCTGATGATGGTGATGATGATGTCAATGATGCTGACTATGCTGATGCTGCTGCTGATGATGAGACTGCTGCTGCTGATGATGTTGATTATGAGGATACTGGCGAACATGATGGTGACGTTGCTGATGATGAGGCTGACGATGATACTGCTGCTGCGGCTGATGATGATGATGATGACGAACATGATGATAATGCTGATGACGATGATGATGATGCTGGTAATGATGAGGATGGTGTCGATGATGCTGATGATGATGATGGTGATGATGATGCTGATGCTGACGGTGATGATAATGATGATGCTGCTGATGATGATGATGAGGAGGAGGATGATGATGATGGCCACGGAGATGGCGACGTTGCTGGGTAAGCACACAAAGTAAGTAGTGGACGGTTGTCGACGGCAACGGCGACAGGGCGATGGGAGCGAGCCACGCCCCTAGAATTCTAGGACACCGTGCGGGCTTGGCTGGCGGAGTCCTAGGCCCCTGTGCAGGGGGGAGGGGAGCTTCGGCACTGCCAAACCTGACTGGCGAAGCTGAACACCGTGCGACCGTCCTCAATATTATAGATTGGTCTTGGGGTACGATCAAGCTTGTAGTGTTCTTCTGGAACTTCTTCACAAAGGACTGGTTTCGAGCGGCGGTTCCGGCGGTTTCCTCACGGTCCTCGTTGGTGTCCGCGGTTTTTCGCGCATTTCACTGACAGTTTCGCCCCGAATCCAATGTTGCACTCTTGGCTCTGCATTCGCAAGCCCGTGCCTCTGCCCGGGTCTCCAGCGGATGCAGCCAGGTTCTTGTGGGGACCCAGTGCTTGTGACGGGGAGGCTCTGCGCCGCGAGCTGATGGTGCGCGTCAACGCACTGCGGTTGCGCAAGGTTGGCCGCTTTGCTAAGTGAGGCTTGAGCCTTGGATCGTAACGTGTTGCGTGAGAACGTCGTCCTCGACGCCATGTGCGCCATGACCACCATCGGCGCCACCGTTATCGTCATCAACTCCGTCTTCGCGATCGCCATCGCTGCCCCTGCCATTGTCGTGACTGCCATGGTGACGATCACTGCGGTCATTAGTTCTCATGGACAAAACATGGCAGACATTGAAAGAACCACATCCCCCCTGGCTGATTCAGACATGGCAAGGCTTGGGCTTACATTCTGTGCGGCCCTCCCCTGGAAAACCTAATGTATCGGAGGGTGGCGACCTTGGATGTCTTATGATGATGAGGAATGGGATGGCGGCATTGATGGGCATTCGCAACAGGTAGCGGACTGGGCTTGCGATTTGGGCGACCGCTTACAGCCCCTCCAGCAACGAAGGTGCCAGATTACGTGCGAAGTATGTGGGCCTCGGTTTCGTTAAATACGTGTTGGAATACGTTTGAACTACGTTCTGAGCGTGCGTAACTTCCGTAGGGGTACCACGGTGCATTTGCAAGTAGACGCATGTCGCGAAATCCAGTTTCACAAAAAATGTCAATGGTGGTTGTGTAGAGGAGGAGGAGGAGGAAGTGCATGACCAGGCTAACAATGAGAGGGTGAGGAGAAGGATTGGGGGATTTGTTTCGACTTGTTTGGGGTGTGTGGGCCAAGTTAGCGACTTTGACATTGGATCTGCGTTGCTGACGTGTTCATGTGCTTCTGAGTTTGCCTGCGCACCCCCTGCCTCCCCACCCGATGTCGCCCACCCCTTTCTTCGTGACCCTATGACGTCGGTCCGTCATCGTCTTGGACTCGCTCCCCGCCATGGTTTTTGTCAGCGCGTGTCGGCCCGTGGGGCGGAGATGTTTCTGGGGGTATGTCCAGAGGATGTCCGGTGATTCCTGGGGGTTTTGAAGCGCAGACGGCGGGGCATGTGCTGTGCCATTGTCAGTAAAAAACTTATGGTAAGCGAGTTGTGTTGCAGTCAGTGCACTGGGGGGGGAACACATGGATAGATTACACGATTTTGTTTGGAGTGTTGGCTGGGGGGCGATTGTTAGCGACCTCGGCTCGAGACTGCTCCGCTGGGTTCCCTGCGCTCCTGGCGCTGAGCATGCGCGCTCTGCTGTGCTGCGGCTAGATGCCTTGGGCGTTGCCCTCGTCTTCTGGGGACGATGGCGAACCAGGGGGATGGGATGCAATCGTTGCAGCTGCAGACGGTTCGGAAGATGCGGAATTCAGGGAGAGTACTTCTACGAATGAGTGTTTCGGCACCATCGCCCCATTGGGTCGTTGGTGAATCAGGCAAGACAGCTAAAGATGGACCTCGCGTCAGCCAGCCTGACCGAGCAGCGCATCGGCATCGGTGGCGCTGTCATCGAGAGGCGCGATGTTTTTTTGATGTGTGACCAACTGTGCAAAGAATTTCAAGCAATGGGCAGTCGTCTAATGATTTTTTGTTTTGCGAATGCTTGCAATACGACGAAACACAACAAAAGGCGAAGCTACCATAATTTGAGGGTGGTCAGGCCGCGTCTGGTACCCAAGCGATTGTCCAAGCCAGCGGTTCGACAGCGGTGCAGGTGGAACACAAGCCAAGCACACACGTGAAGGTGTTGCAGACGAACCGAACATACGCTATGATGATTCGGCACGCACAATCGCATGTTCTGATATCGTTCGACATTGCGCGTTGGCTTCAGTCAATGCAGCGCGGGGCTGGGGAGTGTTATTCGGATTGTTTGGCAGAGACGCATTGCAAACAGATGGATGAGATCGCCAAGATGTTCGAGAGGCGCCAGAGGTTGCCGATGACCGATGGGGATGGTGCAGTGGAGAAGGCAGAGCGCTTCATAGATCGAGGCTCGCTCAGTGTCAAATGCGTAGCCCATAGAACAGCCAACACGTTCGCTGAAGTCTTCAAGCCTTGGGAGGATATGATATCTTTCGTTGTCAATACTAGCATCAGCCTGACAGGCCCCGCTGCCTTATCTGGCTTCAGAGCGCATCTCAATATACACAATGAAAAGGACATCGATTGGAAGCCAGGCGAGGCGCCCCCATTTCGCAACATTCAATATGCTGATCAGTTGATGGATTGCTCCCCCCCTCGGACTTCGAACGCAAACAAGGTCCGCAGAGCTGTATTTCGTCCTTTGTGCAGCGGTGAGCTTTGGCGGCTCACTCTCGCGCGCTAGTGCAACGGGTGCTGCAGAGACCGACCCCATTGCATTCGGAAGATGAAATGCTTGTTGGTTCCCCTGCTTGCTGGTACACCACCGACAGGATGGCCTCGACAGGCCTCGACATCGGCGGGGGGGGGGGGGGGGGGGCGAGTGCAGGGGGAGAGGTAGGGGCAGGGGGCGGACGACGAGAAGTGAGATGAGGGTGACTTGATGGTCGGGGCCAGAGTTGTTGGAAGAGGATGAGGGGGCAGGTGGCAGGTGGAGTGGAGGATGAGCGCGTTTGTCGAGCAGGTACGGTTTTTGCTTGCACTGTGATTGGGAGAGGGCTTCACGACTCCACGGGTCTGTGACCTTATGCATGAACTAGTTGTGAAATGCGTCTGAAAGCGTCCTTGCCGGAATGATTGCGCGGTGCGACTCAGAGAGGAGGGGGTGCTGGGGGTGGCATGTGCTCGTCAAGGGGAAGTGCATTTTGCCATTGCATCAGCATGCTTGAAGCGCACAGGGGGCACGGGAAGGTGGACTAGCAGCGACCTGTCCGTCAACTGGACTGGTTTGCTACAGGGTGCCCATGCCTTGTTCAGCATTGTTGTTGAGAAGTGGGCGAAGTCTCTCGGCATCCCAGTGGACGATGAGCCTGATCTAGGTTTCCTCCCCATAGAAGATGCAAAGGCCGTGGCAGGCCGCTCGACAGTCGCTGACACAGGCGCCGACCCGTTCGAGGGGGGGGGGGGGGGGGGAACGCCAATCGAAGAGCAGGGCATGTGCGTTGCGAATGATACAGGCCGGGGGGATCTTCGGGAACCTTGTCGCAATTCGTGCTTGCATAGAGCCCCTCCGCGACCGCATGGATACAGCATTGTCAACTGCTGGTAGAGCATGGGATTTGAAATAGGAGACGTCTGAGATTGACAAGATGAGCCGCGCTGACCAGGGACAACAGGGTCGCGCATGCAGGCCCCTGCAACTAGCGGATAACATCCCTTTCGAAAACCCGTTGTCCATGACGTGGGATTTGATGTTCGAAGGTGTTGGGGGGTTGCATACATAACGCTTCAGTAATCCAGAGTATGCGTTTTAGGACATAGGTTTCCAAGTGTTTGTTCTGTTTTTTTGTTGTTTTCTCTCCCCCCCCCCCGTTTCTGACCAGGTGGTTTTGTTGAGGAATAATATGTTTTCCACTTTGTCTTCTCTTGCTTGCCACTTGCATCTGATTATGACGGAGAATTCGAATTACCCTTCTGAAGGTTTTCAGCCAGTGGAGCAACGACAAACTCGGGGATCTAGCGAACGAGAACACATGCAGGTTCGATCCGT